GGAGGTGGGAGATGGAAGAGGGGAGGCAGGTAAGTATGATTTTGAGAACCTGGTATGTCATCCTGTGAAAGGAGTTGGAACTTTACCCTAATAGCCGCTAGACCTCACTTTCTTTTCCCTGAGATCCTTTCATGTAAGATCGCTGGCTTTCCATGATCGTTCGGATGAACAGGAAACTTTAAAAGCATTCCACCCAAGCTTTGAGGGCTTTACACTGTGTGAAGCTCTGTCACAGATACCAAAAAAAAAAAAAAAAAAAAAGTAAGGTATGGTTTCGACTTTCAAGGAACTCGAAGTCTACTTGGGAAAATAATTCACAAGCACTTGGAACTTTGAGAAATGTGTTTAGTAAAAATAACAGATGGTTCCAAACTTGTCCGTAGCTATGCAAAAGGCATTTCAGGGCGGTAGCTGGTGGATTGCCAGGAGCCCAGAGGGAAGGTGTGGCTAGGAAAAGAGAAGGTCTGAGGTTCCAGTGGTAGAAAGGAGTTTATACATTCGCTAATGGGATACATATTGTGAACAAAAACAGGGCGGGGGATATAAACCACATTGGGAAGAGCTGATGGCAAGAGAAGATAAGGAATTAGCTATGTGCTTAAAAGGACCTCTGATCTATTTTTTTTTTTTAATTCTATTTTAAGGAGCAATCTAATTCTGTCTATTGAATGGTTGGTGGTCCTCAGTCTTGGTGGTACAATAGAATAACTTGCTCAGCATTTAAAACTACCTGTGCCTGGGTCAGGGCTTGAACCCCCAGGTGAGGCCCCAGGCATCAATTTTTTTTTTTTTCCGAGTACTCCAGCTATTTGTTATGTTCAGTTAGGGTTGGGAATCACTGGACTATGCTGACCTCTTCTCTTTTGCCCACCCATATACTCCAGGCATGTTCTCTGTCAGTGATACCTCAGAGTACTCAGAAAATAAGTATGTAGCAGTTACCAAGTTTTCTTTATAACTGAGCCCATTGGCCATGTAGGCAAGCTAGGCATAGTTTGTGAATGTGTTAATATTATTGCAGATAATGGCTTGAGACTAATACAGATTGAATTTTTGTTTGTTTGTTTGTTTTTACCATTAGGGAACATCTGGGTAGGGAGGATGGGACTCCATCTGTACTTTCTTGCCAATATGTATGTACATATCCATTCTCTGTAGGGTGTGTAACAACCCTATCTTAAGACCTTCGTTTCAATGTGACAAGTCTATCTTCAAATTTAATATATTCAATTTGCTTAAATACAGAAAGTATTTAAAAGAAATGCTTTTTAATGAAGTTTAAAAAATGCCATATCTATAGAGGTTTTATTTTTTTATTTTTATTATTAATTTATGGTTTGTACACCTCTGCCTTGCCTGACAATTCTTGTCAGCTCAATTGCAAACGGGCTGGGCTGGTAGCAGTCGGGTCAATACCCCATAAAGCCTGGATAGTGTGAGAACTTCCCTATTTTGTCCTCGCCTCTTTGGTTGGCACGCTCAGCAGACTGAGTACCCACTTGGGACTAGGCAAGGGGGGAAAGAAAGAGGAAAGGTGAAGAGATACGGATCCAATCCTCTTTTTAGGGGTGTCAAACTCCACAAACTAGGAACAAGGCAGAAATGGAGAGTTTGGAGGCCCTCCCAGGAACGGTACCCCAAAGAGGTTGAGCTGAATCGAGGGGCTGGATATGTGCCAAGGAGGAGCAGATGTCAGGGCCAGAGGCAAAGCAGAAGCTGAGTGTTAGGGGAACTGCAGGCCTTTCCCACGTGGTTGGAGGACAGAGAGGCAAGAAGTGAGGTTGAAGAGGTAGGAAAGTCTTGGGGGTCCCTCTGACCTCCCCAAGTTTGGGCTTTACCCTACAGACACTAGTACCCACTGAGCTTAGGGAATGTATAAATTGCAATGCATATACTCTAAACATTGTGGGTATTTATTTAGCTTGGCAGCGGATCTAAGTATATTTCCACTGGGATCTGTGGACTATGCATGCTGTTCTCTTTTGATGTAATGTCGTAGCCAAAGTTAATCCTGAAATCCTGAGATGAGGCACTGCTGTCAGAGTATAGTGCTTTCAAAATGCAAACTAGCTGATGAGGTCTTATTTAAAATTGCAGTGACTAGTACATGTAGAAAATGACAATGAACACTTTTGCACACTTCCCTCAAGCAAACCTGCTTGTAATGGGAGTCCAGTAGTTAAAATGATTTTTTTTCCCCACGTGAATTTTGCGGAAAATTGCACGGAGGGCTTGATTTTGAAAGTTTCTAGAAAACTTGTCCCCTTTTGTCCGTTAACTGCTCTGCAGCCTTGGTGAGGCAATGTACAGTTTCCTCTGGGGCTACCAAGGCAGCGAGGATAAAAATAGGGCAAACTGTAAGAATCCCAGATATTTTCGGATAACAAAGACTGATTTATGTGGACCCATTCTATGCTCCAACAAAACACAGAGAAGCTTTTGTGCTGTGATTAGCAAGGGTGCTGATGTCAGTTCTCTCATCGAGCGTCCAGCTTTATTCCACGGCTAAATTGTGCTTTGTACCGTAATCCAGAGAACCTTTGTATCTGCCTTATTAAAGTGTGTAGTTTATGTAATTGCTTTTGTTTTCCAGTTTAATCTGTGCCAGATTCAATGAGAGTGACTCATTTTGTGACTGAGACAAACATTCCCATTTGGGCCATGTTAAAAATAAATAAATAAGTGGCAGGTGCTGCTTGGCTAAATTCTGTGTTTTAATGCTGCAATTTCCTGCTGTAAAGAGTTCCTCTCTTATATAATGTCTCCTCGGGCCTCTGTAATCACCCATTCTGTCTGGTGCACCTCGATTCATTGCTTCTCATTTCTTGGCAGTTTGTTTTCGTTTCCAGGGGCCTTGTATATTTTAACAATATCATTTCAACAGAGAAGCAGTGAAATGAATGGGAAGCGACAGTTAACCGGAAGACAAAAGAGTGACACATAAGCCATAGCAAAAAAGACACATTTCCTTCTTTTCTCTTTTTGTCATTTTCCCAAGGTTTGATTCCCAGGTTTGATTCATGGCTGGGGCACATGCCTGCATAGTGGGTTCCATCCCCAGTCAGGGTGCATGTAGAAGGCAATTGATCAATGTTTCGCATATATATATATATATATATATATATATATATATATATATATATCCCTCCCTCCCTCCCTCTCTCCCTTCCTCCCTCTCTTATCAATTTAAAAATATATCCTCAGGTAAGGATTTGAAAACAAATACTGCTCTTATCATGTAGTCTGAACAGCAGTCTAGCCAAAAGGAAGACACAGTCCATTTATTTGCTTACTTTCCAGGTGAAAAAGCAGGAAAATTTTACATCCATTTTTATCCTCTTTACTTCTTACCTGAGCCCTCTTCCCCTCCCACACACACACAAATACACACAGAGACAGAGAGACCTATAGCTTGAAATATGAAGTGTTTTGAAGAAGTACCTTTATGTATACTTTTTATGGCATGATATTAATACATAAAAAATTGCTCTTTTAAAAAAATTGTGAGATATACGTAACAAAATTTATTATTTTAACCATTTTCAAGTGCATTAAGTACATTCACATTGATGTGCAGCCATCGCTACCATCCATCTTCAGAACTTCATCATCATCCCAAACTGAAATCTAACCATTAACACTAACTCCTCCTCCTCTCCCTACAACCCCTGGCTTTCTGTCTTACGAATTTGGTTACTATAGGTACCTCATATAAGTGGAATTGTATAATTTTTATCCTTTTGTGACTGGTTTATTTCACTTACCATAATATCTCAAGGTTCATCCATGTTATATAGCATGTGCCACAATTTTCTTCCCTTTTAAGGCTGAAAAATATTCATATATATATATATATATATATATATATTGATATATAAAATCTCTCATTGTATTTATTTCATCATTCATCAGTAGACTCTTACTTGGGTTGCTTCCAATGTTTGACTGTTGTGAATAATGCTGCTATGAATATAGGTGTACAAATACCTGTTTCAAACTTTCATTGCAATGAATTTGGTTATATACCTACAACTGGAATTTTTTGAGGACCTGCCATACTGTTGTTGTTTTTTTTTTTATAACAGTTAAGCTGTTTTATTTTTTTTTACCAGAAATATAAAACATTTCCACTTTTTCAATAGTAGTTATTCTAATCTGTATGAAATGGTATTTCTTTATGGTTTTGATTTGCATTTCTGTAATGATAGTGACATTGAACATCTTTCATGTATTGGCAAATTGTGTGTCTTCTTTGGAGAGTCTATTTAAACACTGTTCATTTTTTAATTGGGTGATTTATTTTTATTGTTATTGAGTTATAGGTGTTCTTTGTGTATTCCGGACATTAATCTCTTCTCAGATATATGGTTCTTTGAATTGCCTTTTTACTCTGCTGATCATATCCTTCAATATATAAAACTTACAAATTTTGAAGTAGTTCAGTTTATGCTTATTTTTTCTTTTGTTTCTTATGCTCGTAGTGTCATATCCAAGAAATTATTGCCAAATCCTACGTCATGAAGTTTTTGTCATGTTTTGTAGTTTTAGCTCTTACATTTAATTGTTTGATCCATTTTGAGGTCATTTTTATATGATGTAAGACAAGACTCTAAGTCAATATTTTGCATGTGGCTATCCAGTTTTTCTAGCATCATTTGTTGAAGCCTCTGCTTTTTTAGTTAGTAATACCTAAATCTTCCTTGTTTTGTTGACTTGATATTACATTTTGGTGTGATATCTTTTAATATCAATCAATATCTTCTCATATTCTATTAGAAACCCTAATAGGAAAATAATAAACATGTATAGATACATATTATCAAGTTAATTTGGGCATCAGTAAACTCTACTGGAGTGGCAGATAAGTCTATGGAAACAAGGACAACATTGTACGTGACTTTCTCTAGACAAAGCCTTTGTGAAATTGATTTGATAAATGCGCCTCTTCTTGAAAACGTTCTCAGGTTAACATGAGGTGGATGTTTTTGTTTTGTTTCTAGGCGTGGAAGAGGAGATGGTTTGTGTTACGCAGTGGCCGTTTGACTGGAGATCCTGACGTGTTGGAATATTACAAAAATGATCATGCCAAGAAGCCTATCCGCATTATTGATTTAAATTTATGTCAGCAAGTTGATGCTGGATTGACATTTAACAAAAAAGAGTTTGAAAACAGCTACATTTTTGATATCAACACCATTGACCGAATTTTCTACCTGGTAGCAGACAGCGAGGAAGAGATGAATAAGTGGGTTCGCTGTATTTGCGACATCTGTGGGTTTAATCCTACAGAAGAAGGTAAGTTCAAGATTCTCTTACTCAACGTCTTTCCTTCACTGTTACATTTTTTGAACGGGTATAAAATTCTTTGTTATTTCAGTTACACGATGTAATATATGGGATTTTTTTATATTAGTAATAACATATGGAAAAAGCAACTAAACCCTTTAATCAGTTTGGGCAGCAACTTTTTGTATGTTTGAGAAAGAGAAATTTAACCATTGTGGGGCAGCGTCTAAATAATTGTCCTGTAGAAGAAGGTGACAAGAAGACATACTATTTCAGAGCCTTTCTTGAGTTCCTATAAGAATATTACCTTGGCCGAAACCGGTTTGGCTCAGTGGATAGAGCGTCGGCCTGCGGACTGAAAGGTCCCAGGTTCAATTCTGGTCAAGGGCATGTGCCTTGGTTGCAGGCACAACCCCAGTAGGGAGTGTGCAAGAGGCAGCTGATTGATGATTCTCTCTCATCGATGTTTCTAACTCTCTATCCTTCTCTCTTCCTCTTGTAAAAAATCAATAAAATATATATATATATATATATATATATATATAAAAAGAATATTACCTTGAACTTATAACATTGCTGATATTTGACTATTTTTGACCAATTAAAAGCAGCATTTTCATGTGGCTCAATGTAATTCTTCAGTTATTTTTTAAATTATGTTGCTACAGCAGGTGTCAGCAACTATGAAAAGCAAATGAGAATTAATCACAAAACATGAGTTCCCTTACGCCAGAGGTAAGAGGGGACCTAAGGTTTGGATGAAGGTAGTGAAGAAAGCTCAGAGGAAAACACAGGACTTTTGGAGGAAGTAGTATTTCTACATAAGGGAAGGGAGGGGTGCAGAACCCTCCAGCCTTGGGGGCTAGAAAAAGGAGGAATGGAATTCTCTTTGACTCCAAAAAGGCCAGGGGAAAGTTGTTTGAGGATCTGAGGTTTGGAGTGCTTGTCCTCAGAAGAGGCCTCAGGAAGAGTTTGACAAGTGGAATTCCTCTCCAGATGCGTGTCTGTGGCTGTCCTGACCACGTATCCCCTGTCCACTTCTCTTCCTTGTTAAACAAACACGAAGAACCTATGTGGGGTTTGCCAAGCCAAGAATCAGGAATAATGTCTTTGACCCTATTGTCTTCATGCTTATCCTCAAGTTCATAAGTGTGCCTTTCCAAATATCTATCTTTAGGAGTGCTGGAGATTTCAGTGAGGGGTGGAAAAATTGTATTAACAATCAACATCGAGTTTGGGATTGAAATGAAATAGTAATCATCTCTAATTAGCTTAGGTCAGCATGCTGCTTCCTCTCTGGCTCAGTTAGCAGGCCAAGAGAAGGGCCGTCCAGGGCTGGGCTTGGCCCAGCAGGGCTGGGGAAACCCCTTGGTAAGGATTCCAGAATGCCCAGGGGAGCAGCGCAGAGAGAGGGAAGGAGGCATCCAGTGTAGCCAGGAGGCGGCTGATGAGTGAGAGCTCTTCACTGGAGCTCTGGTGATTAAAAGCCTCGAGATTGTGCTTCATGCCGGGCATGAAGGCTACAGTTGTTTTTGTGAAGTGACTCAATGTGTGCACATTTTAAGTAGGCCAGGGGTATCGTTTCTAACTCTGGTTCAATGCCTTTCCTGTCTTGTTTGCATGTACAGTCTATATGTGAGTGTAGTGGAGGATTTTAAAGTTAAAGGCACAGATGATATAGCTTTTTACTTAAGGGCTACTTAACAACCACTCTGTAATGATAATTATTGGATTTGGATACCGCATTAGTTTTGTTATGTGATGGATTTTTAGTTAAAATAATTTAAGTCATTGGATACTCTTTTTGCTGATGTTCTTTTTGCCTGCTGCCTTCCAATTTAGAATTTATTTGGGGGAAATAAGGCAGACTTCTATCTGCATTGGTTGTCTTTTTTTTTTTTTTTTTTAATAGATTCAACTGATCTGAAAGACTGAATAGGTGTTCTTCCAGCTCTCTTTGTTTTCTTTATAATTCTCCTAAATATATTTAACAAAAGAAATGAGATGTCCCTCTTAGAGGAGCTACATTTTTCAGTTAAGGACTATGAGAATCTAACTTTTGGAAGCCCATTTAGAGTAAGTAGAATTGATAACCCCCAAATAAGAATTTCTAATGCTCACCTTGGCTGGTGTGGCTCAGTAGGTTGAGTATCATCCTGTGCACCTAAAGTTTGCTGGTTCAATTCCCGGTCAGGGCACAGCTCTGGGAGGCAAACAATCGATGTAACTCTCGCATATTGTTTCTCTATCTCTCTTCCTCCCTTCCACTCTCTCTAAAAATCAATGGAAAAATATCCTCGGGTAAGGATTAGCAACAACAAAAGACATGTCTTGACTATATGATGTTGGAGATGTGAGTTTCTCGGAAGAAATCAATAAAAGGGAAACAGTTCTTCATTGTGTGGTATCAGGGAGCCACAAAAATAGTTCACGCTATACGGTTTTAAAAATCAATCACTGAGTTCCCTTATTCATTTGGAGTACCTGACTTTGCTAGGTTATGTTTTAAAAACATCTACACACTTAAAGATTTGTATCAGAATAAACCTCCAAGTGCTGCTATTATCCTTTGTAATCACATTCATGCAGTTTAATGTGACAAGGTGAATATCAATGCCATTAATACTTGCTTTATATTCTCTTGCTTTCAAATAGATCCCCCCCCGCCCAATCACTAAGTAGGTATTTTTGTTTTTACCTAGATCTGCCCCCCCTGAGAGTTGAAGATACCCCCACTCATGGCTTAAAACTGATAACAAAAACATGATATTTCATTTTACTGGTTTCAGGCTAGACGTGGGAAGAAATAGACTCTGCTTAGATATTGTAGTCTGAGAAAATAACTGTCTCCAGTCCCTAGGAGAATAACTAATTTTCTCCCGAAAACAAAAGGAAAGGGGAAAACTCTGACCTGTGTTTTGATTCCAGGAACCTCTCAAAATATCGTTCCCATGTTATTTCCGCTGCCCCAGGTGACCACTGCTATTATTGAATACTCAGAATGCTGGCGTGCTGGGTCTGTTTTTGAATTCTAAGCTGGTTGAACTGTGTGTGGTTCCTATGAGTGCTTTTATTTAGTAGATTTGAGGATAGAAACTAATTTCTTTTGTTTTTCTTGGAAATGGGCAGATTTATTTTTGTTTCTACACCGACTTGGAAGCTGGCAGATGTGCTGAGCAAGTGCCGGGAAACACAGCCTCAGGGTTGTACGCAGCAAACTAACTTGGCGCAAAGGCTCCTGCTCTAATTTCGGCATGCATCATAAGAAAGTTGCCTCTTTCTTATCAGTTGAGATACTTTGCTCAAAATGCCCAGATAATAGTGGCTTTAAAAAAAAAGAAGAAAAAAAGTGTGATTCTCTGTTTGATTTTCTTCTTTTTGGGAAAGTAGGTTAGTGATTGTCTGACTACTGTGTTGTATACCTGAAACTAATACCAAAAAATATGTAAAAAATAATAATATTAATAAAATATGTTAAAAAAATAATAATAATAATTGCTAATAAAATAATAATCTAATAGTAGGTTAAACTAACATATAAGAATGCACATATGCTTCCTCTCCTGATTCTTATTAGGGAACTTTCAAATTTCTTTTTATTCACTTTGTATTTCAGTATCACTTACTACTATGAAAAGCACAGAACTTAAGTGTACAGTTAATATAGTTTTATATATTCATCTATATCTGTATATAGAAATCTGTGTATAATAGTTGGCACACTCAGATCAAGAAATGGAAATTTCCAGACCCCAAAAGGTTTTCTCATGCTTCTTCCCAGTAGCTCACCCCACCCCAGAATAAAAGCCCAAATAACCATTATTTTGCATTTATAACCATAGATTAGTTTTGCCTATAGTTGAAATTCATATAAATAAAATCTTTGAGTCTGGCTTGTTTTTCCTAATCTAAGTCTGTGGGATTCATCCCTGTGGCAGGTAGCAGTTCTTCATCCTATGTAGCATTACACTATGATTGTACAACAAATTTTTAACCAATTTGAAAGTTGATGGTCATTTGAGTCCTTTATAATTTTTAGTTAATATAAGTAAAGCTGTTGTGAACGAATTACACATGTCTTTTGATGGACATGACACTTAGTTTTTGGGATACATACCCATGAGTGGAATTGCTACATCATAGGATATATATATATTTTTAGTATTAGACTGCATTTTAACCAACACTTGGTATCGTCAGTAATTAATTTTAGCCATTCTAGGAAATGTGTAGTGGTATCTCACAGTGGTTTTAATTTGCATTTTCCTGGGGCACAAGTCAACAGAGTTGATTTTGTTTTATTATATATTTTCAAACTACTTCCCCTGAAATTTTGATTCATTGAGTCTCCTGAGATGGAGCCCAGGCACCTACATTTCTAAAACACCCCACAAGTGATTCTGATGTCATGACACCTCTAGGATAAGAATTAGGCATTTATCACCACTTCCTAAAGGTTTATTTTCACCGTCTCCAAGGAAGTTTTCACAATCTGTGAAGGAGATGGTCATGACAAATAGGATTAAAAAATTTCCTACTTCAAGTACATGAAATAGTTGGGCTTTGATTAGAGGTCTCCAATATTTGACTTAATAAACTGAAGAAACCGCAGGTTGCTTCACTGAAAATTGCAACTAATTGTTGTTTCTTGTTTGTATCCATTTTTGAGATTTACATTTATAAAATGTTCTTTCATAAAATAAAAAAAAATGGTCTGTTCAGAAGTAAGCAGATTATTTTAGCATTAATGATAATGCATACCCTTTGTGGGCTTTTATTTGCTAAGTTATTTAGACATAGATCTATTCAAAGTACTTCTCTTTTCAGGAAAAAAATATTTATTCAACAGACCAGATAAGTCAGTAATCAATAGAAACCGAGTAACCTTGACCTATTTCCCTTTAATTGGGAGCATCAAGATAACACGTTTGCAATAGAAACAGAGCATATTCTATTAGCAAATGTCACCCATCTTCAGAGAAAAGGATCTCCTTGGGTCCAACAAGGACATGAGCAGCACCACAGTTTTATGACCATATGCTCAGGTAGAGCATGCTTGTGTCACAAAATCCGCAGACCCGTGACATCAACTTTTAAATATTCTCCTTACCAATAAGAAAGGGTAGAATTGCTTTCCCAGGTTTCAGCTCTTGAACCATTTGATTAGAAAAACATATATATTCTTTTGAATATTTAGAGGCATTATCAGGGCACCCCAACTTCTGTGACGGCATTAGGGTTTCAAATAGGATAAAACTGTGCATTAAGTTAGGGGCAGTGGCAGGCCAGTTTATCATTTGTGGTTCTCCTCAAACGAGTCTGCTTCTCTCCACTGAAAGCTGGTTAAGACTTTCCCTACAGTGTTCATTCGTTTACTAAGTAAAATTCCATTAGGAGTTTGCTCCAACAGCTTATTAGCCCTTTAATGGATACTAATTATACTCTTCATGCCTTCTGAATTAAGAAATAACTCAGGAAATAATTTTACTCACATAAGCAAACCCTAAACTGATATTTGATTCTCAGAAACTTGATGCCAGCATTACTTGGAAAGGGCAGTGAGTTAGAAACCTAGGAGAGCCAAAAAGCAACAGACGTGGTCCATTCAACTACTTGTAGAGCTGAATGGGGGCAAATGACATGTTTTTATAAGACAGAAGTTTCTTTTTTAGGTCATTTGATTAACTTTGGCCATTAATTTAACTTAGAGAATCTTATTTAGAGAATATTAAGACAATGCAGTGCTTACAGTAAAATATGAAGAGCTGAGTATGATGGCCAGATTAATATGAGAAAAAGAATCCTGAAGACTTAACTTTGAAAACAGTACATTTTCTGGGCCAAAGTGGTAGGACAGTGTCCCTTCCCTTTTCAGGAACGTTGCACATCATGTTGTTGGGGATGGTGGGGCTTGCTTTTTATGGCTATTTGGAGGTCTTTTCTTTCGTGAGCTTGCTAATGAACATAATGGAAGTTTCTTCCTAGTTCCTGGCCCTTAGTGAAGTGCTTAATAAATTATTTCTTTACTTGCCGACACCTTTTGCGTGGAAATCCTACATAAATTCAATAAATGGCAAATGAGATGATAAGCGGAGGGAAACGGTGGTGCCTTCAAAAAAAAGCTCTTTCCCTGAACGTGAATCCCCAGTTAGAACTAGTTCTCCCTGGTTGACTAAGAAGTAGAACGGATGAACAGCAGAGTAAAGATGAGGTCAAGAGCTGACCCTGATACCCGCAGCACCATGGACCTGCAGGTGCCACAGAATAACATGGGCCACCGTGGAAGATCGGGTTGGCTTAAGAAGCACTATGTCATCAGGGGGGAAAAATCTGCCTTTTGTGCTAAAGATGGTAGGGTATGGTAGATCATCTTCCTTTCCAGGAGCTTCAAAACTAAAGACTGTTCAAGGCAAGATTAACCATGGCTCCTTTACAGCTTCTGGAAGAAAGATCCCTCCTCTTCAGATCTCTTGAATATGAAATGATTATCTTCTGTATAAACGGTGTCATTTAGGTCGTATTTGTTTTAACTGACAGGATCAGGTTTAGCCTAGTTCCATGTATGTAAACAACTTACCTCCAAACTTTCAAGTGGCTTTGCTTAAGAAAAAACCAAAAACTCCTAACATGGGATAGAGAATGACAGCCCCATTTTGGTGTTGCAGATCCTGTGAAGCCCCCTGGCAGCTCCTTGCAAGTGGATTTACCGTCAGCTGTCATTACAACACCACCGTCCGCCCAGGTGGACTCGTCCTCTGCTGCCCACCCTCCTCCATATCAGCTCCTTAACCTGCCGCCACATCTGGAGACTCTTGGCATCCAGGAGGATCCTCAAGACTACCTCTTGCTAGTCAACTGTCAAAGCAAGATACCTGAACCCACCAGGTAAACCACGTATGCCTGTGTGTGTGTGTGTGTGTGTGTGTGTGTGTGTGTGCGTGCGCGCGCACACACACGCACGTGCTCTCATTTAGTAATCTTACCTATAAACTTTTAAGGTTTAAAAGAAACCTTATAGGCTTCTATTTTATGCATATATAATAGGCTTCTATTTTATGCATATATTTCAAGTTTATATTCCTCCACTAATGATCTCTGTTCTTCATGAGGTTTTGTTGAAGAAACACATTCTCTAGCATCTTTGGCAAGGAACACTTTTGCCGGGAGCTCTTTTGGAAACCTGTCTTCCGTTTCATAGTCTTTGTTACAGACTCACAGTATTACTTGCTTAACAGATTTCACTGGTTTATAAATGGTGATCTTGCTCCATTTCTTATGTGATTGTAAACCAGCCAAGGGTCATCTTTTGTTTCTGAAGAAGGAGAGGAATACCTACTACTAGAAGATTTTGAAAGCAAAACGATTCCATTGCAGTGAGTGTGTTGTGGTTGCTTTGGATCTGTGTGAGAAATCATACAGGTAAAATCCCAATATAGCAAAACATATGGGAAATACAAATTGAGCTTCTGAAATTGGATGAAATCAAATATATTGCTAAAAGCTATGAAAGGTGGATTTTCCTACCTTGCAATGAAATGGAGCTTACTCAAGCCTTCACTTTACAAATTTTAAGTATTAATAGAAAAAGGTATGTGTGTTTCAGTGCTGGACCATAGGTATCATAAAGACTTTCCCAAATCCTGCTTTACCCGTCATTTCCATGCCTGCTCCACGACCCCTCTCTTTTAAGCTATAAGATAGTTGAATTTGATATGGAGTAATTGGAAGGCTTGAAGTCATGGTAAGTATTGGAGCTAAAAAATAATGATCAGGAGGCCTGTCAATGCCATTAACAGCTGTGACAACTAATGATATTGGTTATATTTATTATATGAATTTGTAGTATAAATGTAGGCATGAATTGCATAGTAGATGTGAAATATTTTTAAACAGGGTTATTGGATTATAAAACATTAATACTAAGTATTAATGTTTTATAACAAAAATATTTTTTGCATGTAAAAAGTGACTGTTACTGGGATGGAAATACACAAAGCACTTGTTCAAAATTTTTTTATATAGAATTTTTAAGATCCACAAATTCATTTCTGTAACCTATTCCCTAAGATAATTGAATCAAACACTCCAAAATGCATTTCTATATATTTGTTGTAATGGGATTTTACCTGTAAGAGAAAATAAAATAATTTATAAATCACCACTACTTAATAATACCAAATTCTAACTTGATTTTTGCTTGTTTGCCGTGAGTATTTAAAATTACACACTTGCAACTTTGTTACCTATGCTACTAACTAAGATTTTATTTTACAGAGAGTCACAATTATTTTTCAGTATCAACTTTTTAAAAGCCAACAGCTAAGTGCCAGTTTTCAGTACATTATCTTTTTATATAAAAATCTTTAATTGAACTCACTGTTAACACAGCTTTCCTGTTGTGCTCAAAATTATGCTCAAATATATTTTGCATCTATTTTTTATTTTTTATTTTTTTGCAAAAATGTCAGTTAACAAATATTTATAATGTGCCCACTATTTTGTTAGATGCTCTGAAGATACAAACTAATTACATAGGTTACAGCCCCCTCAGATACAGTCACCTTCACAGTTTTCAAGTAAACTTTGTGAAGAAGTCAAAACATGTAAATATTTTAAACTTTTATAGATGGAGGCAAGATAGGAGAATTGCTTTGTAAACCCTTGTTCAGGCTATAAGTCTCAGCTCAGACACATGTAGGAAACATTTCCCCAAACTCCCAGGCTGGATTAAATGCCTCTGTGGGTCTTTATAGCATCCTGGCTATACCTTCATATCTCTGTTTTATCATAGATTTGGAAACAGATTGATATTTTTATTCACTCTCCATTAAACTATAAGCTAGTCAGAGGCAGGAAATTTATTGCTCCTGGTGCTTCTGGCATCTTATAGCTCACATGTTTGAATTCACTGACAGTGCACATTTTTAGAATATGTGTTAATATGTTGGAAATAACTACCCAGGGAGGAGTAGAATTTGAACTACACCTGGTAGGTAAGAGAAAGGGAGGCTATCATTAGTAATTTGCTTAAAAATGCTTGAGGGACAGGAGAGGTGAAAATGAGAGTGCTGAGTTGAAGATCAGGAGGAGGAAAGCCTGCTTGGAGGAAAGGCTTTGGCTTGCGGGACCGTAGGACATAAAATAGGACATAAAAGGTGGAGCCAGGTAAGCCTCAAGCTAAGGGGCGTAGTTTGTTGGCTTTTTGTAGTTCCCACACCCATACAGGTCTTAAACAGGATTTTCTCTGGGTGTATAAGTGATCTGAAAACCATGTTTGAAAAAAACAAATTTTTTAATCCTCACCTGAGGTTATTTTTCCATTGAATTGAGAGAGTGGAAGAAGGAGGAAACGACAGAGAGAAGTATTGTGATGTGAGAGGAACACTTTGATTGGTTGCCTCCTGCACGCGTGCTCTAACCAGGGCCTGGGCCTGGGAGGAGTCTGCAATCGAGGTGCATGCCCTTGACTGGAATCGAGCATAACAGTATGATCCCATGCACAGATTGGCAGAAAAGGGAATCCAGGGTACAGAAGTTTACTTAGGAGGGTTCAGTAGTATAGAACTTAACAGAGACACTTGGATAGGAAGTGAGACTTCGTGCCTGAGTGACGGTGGAGATCAAAGAGAATGAATCTAAGCTGACTGGGTTTTGAGCCTAGAGAACCTGAATGAGGACATTTCTTTTAAGGGTAAATCGGAAAGGGCTGTCAAAGTTGGGTTTTGTCTGATACACATAAGCTACTGGGATAACCAAGTAGAAATAATAGGAACAGATGGAAAATATGGGACTCATAGATGGGAGTTGTCAGCCTTCTCTGGAAGGTGACCATAGGAGACAGGAGAACTTCTTTAACGGTGTGTGTGCTCACGAATGAGAAGATTGAATTCTGTTGGCCATTCCTAGGCAGAGAAACAGAAAGAAGGAACTTGTCAATGAACAAGGGGATGATCAGTGAGGGACGAGGAAAATTAGGATATCACAATATGGGTTCTTTAAAACATCAGGAATGCCAAAACATAAATGGAGTACATAGAGCCAGGAGTTACTAAAATATCAGGGAAGCTAAGCCCTTAAAAAATCTCTCACAAGTTCATTTTTAAAACTAGTGAGTTCAAGTTCCTACAGGACTTTGGCCAGCATGCATGGGTAGCTAAGGATCCTGTTTAACATTACAGAGTGTGCTGGTGTCCAGATTGAACCTTCATTTTGCCTTACACCCAAATTTTTTGTGATACGACAAAATGCAGAGGCTGAAAATGGACCCAAAGCATAAAACATACTGTAGTGAGATTCCTCAAGGTTACAGTAATTGGTTTGGAGTTGGCTCACTCTGTGACGTGTGTTTTGATCCTCTTTACAGTATCAGCTAAATGCTTGTTAAAGAAAATTAGTAGGAAGGAGGATATACCACGCCTTTCAAGTTGCCCCCTCCTTGTAGATCACACTGAATCTATTCAGGACCCGGTAACCGTTAGACTGTCAGTGGCACAGAACAACAGATTTGCCACAGGTGGGCGACAGAGCAGTGGGACCGTCTTGATAAATTGGCACCACGGTTTTTGCATGCTCTTCTGAGGAAATGCTTTTCCTTGTGTCTGTGCCTTAATCATTTTACCTTTCTAATTCCGGTACGTCAGGGATTGTGGTTTTATGTGTGGATTTCATAGGTGGAGTTGGGGGTGTGGGCAGGTCCAGGCCAGAAATTAGGAAGAATGCTTTTGGTGGTTTTGTGGTGGCGGTGGTGGTGTTGTCTGGTGTGCAATCAAAAAAAAAAAAAAAAAAAGCAGCATTCGTGCTTTCCATCTCATGGATCACACACACACACACACACACACACACGTCTAATGAAAAAAAAAAAAAGCCATGAATTTTGATTGCTAAGCTATCACTATATGTATTGAAAAGCGGTCGTGTGCCCTCACCGTGTTTTATTTTCTGCCGTGAACAATTTTTATGTAGAACACACGCTGATTCTGCAAAATCCACCTCCTCCGAGACAGACTGCAACGACAACGTCCCCGCCCACAAAGGCCCGGCGCCGAGCAAACCGGGGCTGAACGGCTTCTTCCCGCCACCGCACCTGGTGTACGACTCGCCGCCGCCCCGCGCCGCGCCCGCGCCCGCGGACGCCGGGCTCTACAGCCTGCCGCGCAGCTTCTCCCACGACCTGCTGCCCCGGGCGTCCCCCGCGGCCGACGCGGACGGCGAGCTCTACGTGTTCAACACGCCGCTGGCCCCCGCGGGCCTGGACGCCCCGCTGCGGCACCTGCCCGTCAGCTACGACATTCCCCCGGCGCCCGGCAACGCCTACCAGATCCCACGGACGTTTGCGGACGGACCCCTGGCGCAGGCGGCAAAGCTGGACCCCATTCCGGACGTCCCCCCGCCCCGGCCGCCCAAGCCGCACGCGGCCCACGACCGCTCCCCCGTGGAAGCCGGCAGCCTCGCCCGCGCCGCCTCCGACACCGACAACAGCTACTGCGTCCCCGTCCCCGTCCCCGCCGCGGGCATGCCGGCCTCCCGCAGCAACACCATCTCCACTGTGGATCTGAACAAGCTGCGCAAAGGTCAGCCCCCCTTGGCTCCCACTCTGTTCCAGGTTCAGGGTAGAAGATGTGTTGTTCTGAATATTTGATCTTTTGTGTGTGTGTGTGTGTGTGTGTGTGTGTGTGTGTTTTAAATAACTCTTTATTGTTCATATTATTACAAATGTTCTTCATCCCCCCCCCCCCTCCATTGCTCCCCTCTACCAGGTTCCCATCCCACCCTCTGCCCTTTCCCCATCCCCCATTGTCCTCATCCATGGGTGCACAGTTTATGTTCAGTCTCTTCCCACATCCCCCTCAATCATCAGTCCACTCCCCTTCCATACCTCTGATTCTATTATATTCACCAGTTAATATTGTTCATTAGATTTTTTTTTTAATTCCCTTGGTTTTTAGATTCACTTGTTGATAGTTAGGTATTTGTTGTTCATAGTTTTTATCTTTATTTACTTTCTCTTCCGAAAGAACCCCCTTCAGCAATTCATAAAATTCTGGTTTGGCGGTGATGAACTCCTTTAGCTTTTTTTTTTATTAGTGAAGCTCTTTATCTGGCAGATTCTGAGTGATAGCTTTGCTGGGTAGATTATTTTGGGCTGTGGGTTCTTGCTATTTATCATCTTGAATATTTCTTGTCATTCCCGTCTGGCCTGCATGGTTTCTGTTGAGAAATCAGCTGACAATCCTATGGGTGCTCCTTTATAGGTAACTACCTGCTTTTCTCTTGCTGCTTTTAATATTCTCTCTTTGTCTTTTGCTCTTGGAATTTTAATTATGATGTGTCTTGGTGTGGTCCTCTTTGGATTCTTTTTGTTTGGAGTTCTGTGCTCTTCCTGGACTTGTAAGTCTAATTCTTTCACCAGGTGGGGGAAGTTTTCTGTCACTTTTTCTTTCAGTATGTTTTCGATATCTTGCTCTCTCTCATCTTCTGGGACCCCCATAATTCTGATGTTGGTTCGCTTGAAATTGTCCCAGAGGTTTCTTACATTATCTTCAATTTTCTGGATTCTCTTGTCTTCTTGCTTCTGCGGAGGAGTGTCTTCTGGCTCTTTATGTTCCAAATCTTTGACTTGATTCTTGCAATCTTCCATTTTGTTTTTAGGACTCTGTATAATATTTTTTTTTATTTCAGACAGTGTATTCTTGATTTCTTGTTGATCCCTTATTAGTTCTTGTTGATCCCTTATTAGTTCTTGTTGATCTCTTTTCATCTCCTCATAGGTCTCATCAAGCTTTTCTAGGAAATTCTTGAAAAACCTTATAAGCATGGTTTTGAACTCTATATCAAGTCTCTTCTTTTCCTCCATTTCTTTTGTTTGTGATCTATTTCCTTGTCTTGGCATTTTCACAGCTTCCCTGAGTTGGTAGGGTAGCTTTGTGTGCTATGGTGTCCTATATGGTTCAGTGAGTCAGCCTCCCAGTTACCTGAGGTGGACAGTCTTTGTGTAGCCCTCTGTGGGATGTGTGTGCAGTCTTGTTGTTAAGCCTTGCTTGTTGTTGGTATCACTAGGAAGTGTTGATCTCCAAGCCAATTGGCTATGAGGATCAGAAGTGTCTCAGCTAGGAGGATTTCTGTATTCCGTTTGGATGGGCGGAGTCTCAGGGTGGCACAGACAAGCTTTGTTGAATCCCGCACAATCGGTTGCAGGCACGCGCACCTCTTTGGTATAGGCGCAGACAGCCTTTAGATTCCTGTCTGCCCCTCCCTCGGAGAGTCCTATTCGCGAAAGCTAGCCACTGGAATGGCTTCTGTGCTCTGCTTGGATGGGGCGTAGTCTCGGGTGGTGCAGACAAGCTTTATTCAGCCCTTCCCTATGAGGGTCTGGTTTCTGAGTCCCGCAGTAATGGCCGCTGGCTTCACACACCTCCCAGAGATCCCTGCCCACTGCCGACAGTCTGGCCTCTCCCTGTCTGGGGCCGTCTTTCAGAGCAATAGGGCGGTTCTTGTTTTCCTCCCGAACAAGAAAGCCAGCCGCGCTTTAGCTGTCCGCCCTGTCCGTGCAGGGAGTAAGCCGGTAGCAAACTCAGCCCACCCTCTCCACGCTCCGCAAGCAAGCCAGCAGCGAACTCTGTGGCTGCTTTTTTGCACGCACAGTTTTCCATACCTTCACAGTTCCTGAGGTTCAGTGCGCCTTCTCTCTTCTTCCCAGATGGTAGAGCCTCCCCCCCTGCCAGCTGTCCGACGCTTCAGGGTGATCTTTCCCCTGTTTTTCAGTTCTAAATTCAAACTTGTTGTGGTAGGCTGCATTCAGGTGTCTGCCCTACGCCACCATCTTGGTTCTTCCTTGTTCTTTTTTTATTTTATTTAATATATTTTATTTATTTTACAGAGAGGAAGAGAGAGGGATAGAGAGTTAGAAACATCAGTGAGAGAGAATCATCGATCAGCTGCCTCCTGCACACTCCCTACTGGGGATGTGCCCACAACCAATGCACATGCCCTTGACCGGAATCGAACCTGGGATGCACATGCCCTTGCACACATGCCAATGCACATGCCCTTGACCGGAATCGAACCTTTCAGTCTGCAGGCCCACACTCTGTCCACTGAGCCAAATTGTTCTTAATTTAAAAAAAAAAAAATTCTTAACTGATTTTAGAGAGGAAGGGAGGAGGGAGAGAGAGAGAGTGAAACATCAATGATGAGAGAGAATCATTGATGAGCTACCTCCTGCATGCCCGACACTGGGGATTGAGCTCACAACTCAGGCATGTGCCCTGACTGGGAATTGAACTGGTGACCTCCTGGTTCATAAGTCTATACTCATCCACTGAGCCACGCCTACTGGGCTGAATATTTGTTCTGTTAAGCATAGTAGAATACTAAATGATAGTCCTTTGTTTCTTCAGTCTTGCAGTTACCTACTCATGTAGCAAAGATACCAGGGTCTCAGTAGATGCCCAGGAGACTGTGTGAGTATGTGACTGTGAGAGAGAGAGAAAGAGAGAGAGAGAGAGAGAGAGAGAGAGAGAGAGAGAGAGAGAGAGAGAGAGAGAGAGATAAGTGTGTCTATGTGCATGTTCTGCCAGAAGGACAAAGAGTTGGAGTTTTTCATCCCTGAAGAAGTATAGCCTTAGTAATTCTTTCCTGCCTCAGGAAGTCTGCATCCTCACTCCCTCTTTCTATATATCTTGCAGGGGGAGATGGGGAGGAGATAGACCCTGATGGGACAGAGAAACAGGAAATGGGCCAGCCACACAGCTTCCGAGACTCATACCCTTTCCTGTATGTGTGCCCTTAGGGCCACTTCTATGTGTCACATCTGTGAGGCTCCATTTCCTTCCTCTATAGATAAGCAATGTTTGTGTTGTGTCTAGCAGATAATCACCAGTCCCAATCAAGCCACTCTGATTTTTGTTTGCTTTTTTTTTATTTGTAAAGCTCTGAGTCTTCTCTCTCCTTATTCCTCATCACTTCATTTATTCCTACTCTGTCTCCTCGAGCCTTCCAGAAGTTACTGAGCTTGAGAGGAGAAAAGTTGAGTCTGGGTTATACCCTAAGATTCTTAATATCCTAAAAATAGAAAGCCAAAGTGTAAAATTTCATACCCTAAAAATGATGTTATCCAGCTGTCTTAAAGAAGATAAAGATTCAATGCATCTAATTCCCTTGAAGTGTTTGTGTAATCTGGGTGTAAGTTAGTGAGACATAATGGAGGCCCAAGGTGGTGCAAAGGGTAAGAACATAGAAGTATATTTTTCTCCATTTTTAGGTAACCCACCACCACCCCAGCTTAGACAGACGTCTACTCACTGTCAAAATCAAACACTGTTACTGATTAGCATGTGACAAGTGCCTGCATTTTCTAGCGGCTTAACATGCCAATTCAAGATACTATTCCGTGAGCATCCTTTTTAAGGTCTGTGTACATATATACCTGCATGTGTGTGTGTGTGTGTGTGTTTAAAGAGAGAGAGAGAAAATAGGTCATTCCTGATTACCCTAAGAACTGGCAAATGTGGGAAGAAATGTTTATAGTTTGTTCTTTATTTTAGACGCTAGTTCTCAAGACTGCTATGATATTCCACGAACATTTCCAAGTGATAGATCTAGTTCCCTTGAAGGCTTCCATAACCACTTTGTAAGTATAACTGACCTCGGCATGATCGAGTGTATCTTTCATTGTCAAAAAAATCTTGATGCTTATTTCCCTGAGACTAAATGAGATTATGAAATAGAAGCCCCTTCAGATCCGTATGAAATAGGTGTGACGTGCAATTATGTTTTCCTGTTTGACAGTAGTTTTTGTTTATTAAGAGAAAATGTGTGTGTGTTTTAGAAAACCAAAAATGTATTGACAGTGGGAAGTGTATCAAGTGAGGAGCTGGATGAGAATTATGTGCCGATGAATCCCAACTCTCCGCCGAGACAGCATTCCAGCAGTTTTACGGAGCCCATTCAGGAGGCAAATTATGTGCCCATGACCCCAGGGACGTTTGATTTCTCCTCATTTGGAATGCAAGTTCCTCCTCCTGCTCATATGGGCTTCCGGTCCAGCCCCAAGACCCCTCCCAGAAGGCCCGTCCCCGTTGCAGACTGTGAACCACCCCCCGTGGATAGGAACCTCAAGCCGGACAGAAAAGGTAAGCAGAGCAGGGCATAGGAGAAGGGTCTAGCTCTGCCTTGAACTGTCACTAAATCCAGAACAGGATTGAGACTAGAAATTCTGAAGTATTTCCTATTACCTTAGTTATTAACTTGTTTAAGGGATATTGCTGTTATAGATTAATAATTATTATATGTTGATGCCTACATGAGATTTTAAAATCTCCTGTCTCAACAGCAGAGGTTACAAACGAGAGCACTCATAAGGACTGGCAGGGAAGAGGAGGAGAGAATTAGGAAAAACTTGAGTGCCCCAATTGGAGTAACTAACTGCTCCTGGACCACAACCAGGACTTGAGAAAGTAATAAAGATCTGTACATGCAAATCTTCTGATGTATCAGGAGAAGCCAGAAATTTCACCTTTTATGTGTATTGTCTTTTGACTTTTAAGTTCTAAGAACTAATTTGATTATTTTAAAAGAAAAAATCATTGAAGATCAAACCAGAGAATATGGTATCAAATCAAACTTGAGAAACTAATGTGGCTGACAGCGATATTGCTTGTTTAATCTTTCCATTTTGTTATATAACAACTTCTTAAAATTATTCTTTCTTGCTGGGGAATAAATAAATGCTTTAGTCTTTTCTTTCATACTGGCCTTCATAAGTAACATTAATTCTCAAGTAGCATAGTTTGTCAAGAACTCCATGGAAAAGAAACTTTTCAGCCAAATTGGTGATATGTACTAAAGGTTTAAAATTTTAGGTTTGAGTGGTTAAGACCCTCAGCACTAGCTGTGTTGCAGCATTGCTGTTAATGTGGCTTAATCTAGACCATCGAGTACATTGTTATATCGGCTGTGACTAGTGGCACAACTTCTGGAGTATTCAGCACATTTGAAAAGTCTCATGTGCTATACATAGCTTTTACCTTTTTTAAAATATATATATTTTTTTATTGATTTCAGAGAGGAAGGAAGAGGGAGAAAGAGATAGAAACCTCAATGATGACAGAGAATCATTGATTGGCTGCCTCCGGCATGCCCCCTATTAGGGAACAAGCCTACAACCGTGGCATGTGCCCTTGACTGGAATCAAATCCAGGATTCTCTATCCACTGAGCCAAACCGGCTAAGGATATATGTAGCTTTATTTATTTATTTATTTATTTATTTATAATATTTTTTATTAAATTATTATTTTTGTACATATACCCTTGCCCCCCACTTCCCATACATACCCTCCCTCCCCAGAGTTTTGTGTCCATTAGTTGTACTTATATGCATGTATACAAGTCCTTCGGTTGATCTCTTATCTTCCCCAGATCTCCCCAACCTCCCCACTGTAGTTTGACAGTCTGCTTGTTGCTTTACTGTCTCTATATCTATCTTTTGGTTCTTCAGTTTATAATGTTCTTTATCATCCATAAATAAGTGAGGTCATGTGTTGTCTCTCTTTCATTGACTGGCTTGTTTCACTCAGCATGATGTTCTCCAATTCCATCCAGGTTGCTGCAAATGATGAGAATTTTTTCTTTTTTATGGCAGCATAATATTCCATTGTGTAAATGTACCATAGTTTTTGGATCCAATCATCTGCTGATGGGCACCTAGGCTGTTTCCAAATCCTAGCTATTGTAAATTGTGCTGCTATGAACATAGGGGTGCATATATCCTTTCTGATTGATGTTTCTAGCTTCTTGGGATATATTCCTAGGAGTGGGATTACTGGGTCAAATGGGAGTTCCATTTTCAGTTTTTTGAGGAAGCTCCATACTGTTCTCCACAGTGGTTGCACCAGTCTACATTCCCATCAGCAGTGCACGAGGGTTCCTTTTTCCTCCGCAACCTCGCCAACACTTGTCGTTTGTTGATTTGTTGATGTTGGCCATTCTGACAGGTGTGAGATGGTACCGCATTGTTGTTTTGATTTGCATCTCTCGGATAATTAGTGACTTTGAGCATGTTTTCATGTGCCTCTTGGCCTTCCTTCTGTCTTCTTTTGAGAAGATTCTATTTAGATCCATTGCCCATTTTTTAATTGGGTAATTTATCTTCCTTTTATTAAGTTGTATAAGCTGTCTGTAGACATTGGAGATTAAACCTTATTTATTTATTTTTTAAATATATTTTATTGATTTTTCACAGAGAGGAAGGGAGAGTGATAGAGACCTAGAAACGTCGATGAGAGAGAAATATTCACCATCTGCCTCCTGCACACCTTCTACCGGGGATTTGCCCGCAACCAATGCACATGCCCTTGACCGAAATCGAACCTGGGACCTTTCAGTCCGCAGACCGACGCTCTGTCCACTGAGCCAAACCGGTTTCGGCTATATGTAGCTTTTTAAGAACATGTAATGTCTGTGTAAATTTCTCATTAGCCTGGACTTAGATCGTTAATATTAATTCTAATTAAGTATCAGTTGTGGGGAAGGGAGACAGATTCACTGAGAGTAACTTAAGAAAGTGAATTTTGCCAAAACTGGTTTGGCTCAGTGGATAGAGCGTTAGCCTGCGGACTAAAGGTTCCCAGGTTTGATTCCAGTAAAGGGCATGTACCTTGGTTGCAGGCACATCCCCAGTTGGGGGGAAGGGGTGCAATAGGTAGCTGAATGATGTTTCTCTCTCATCGATGTATCTAACTCTCTATCTCTCTACCTTCCTCTCTGCAAAAAAATCAATAAAAGAAAAAGAGAGTTTTGTTTCCTTTTGCTGTGAGGAAACTCTTGTGCTGAAGTGAGAAAGTGATTAGGAGCCAAAGCACCCCTCGGGTACTGGCACTTCGTCCTGCTCTCTGCATGTCTGTCCTGTGGGAAGTCTTTGCGTCTGCTGTGTTCTCTCTCACATTCCTTCCTTCTTTGTGTTCCTCTACTCTGTATCCTCCGCTTGATTTGGTTTTCTGCTTTCCCAGAGCTCGGCCTACAGTGCCCCTCGGTGGCTGGGATGCTGTCTCCTGGCCCCTTTGTACAGGCCCTTGCAGCTTCCACATCTGCTAGTTCCTTCTTCATCATTTACTCACTTCCGGTCACTCAGAGAGATTGGTCTCACTTGTCATTCACACCAAACCAAATGATGGATTGTAGGCCAGCCCATAGTTTGGCTGCTGTTGGGTCCACCTTTGGTCCAACATCTGGGAAGACGGACACATCTAACACCCATGCCACCCAGACAACCGCAGAAGCAGGCCATGATCCAGATGGTTACCTTAAAAAGGGTGTAAGCATCACTGGCTTTTTATTTAATAACTTTTCCTTCTGTTACTTTTTGTCCTCATTTGGCTCTAAGTTATTTAGACACTATTGGTCATTTTCTTCTTTGCCTGCAATATGTGCAAGTATTTTTGGACATGCGTACATTTAGCATGGAGCTCAAGGTTGCCAAAGGATTAAAAATACAAGTGTCATGAACTCTTTGTAGTTATTAAATATTCATTTTAATGCTACACTGGTTCTTTTCTTATTTTTTTTGTAATCAGTGCATGGTAGCAGCAGAGCTATACTTTTTTTTTTAATATATATTTTATTGATTTTTCAGAGAGGAAGGGAGTGGGATAGAGAGCTAGAAACATAGTTGGGAGAGAAACATCGATCAGCTGCCTCTTGCACACCCCCTACTGGGGATGTGCCCGAACCAAGGTACATGCCCCTGACCGGAATCGAACCTGAGACCCTTCAGTCTGCAGGCTGACGCTCTATCCGCTGAGCCAAACCGATTTTGGCTAGAGCTATACTTTTTAACGACAATCATCACAGTTGTGTATCTTGAGGTCTCCCATCAATGTGGAGGTGGTACGGGTTGGGTGAGGTACGGGCTCCAACTCCCACCTGTTTTACCTCCTGCCTGTTCCTTTCCTCCCTTTGGGCTGTGCATAATTCTATGTGGTAAGCTTAATGCAGAATCAGAAAAGATCCTTATTTATATGTTAGAAAAGTTGTAAAATGATGCTTTTAGTTTCATCTAGATCTAACAGAGCTCATGTACTCCATATTATAATAAACAGCATATCATAATAATATGGCATGTATTAGTATACTATATATGATATTATATATATATATATATATATATGATAATTGTATATTTACTCCTCCCTATGTGCATAGTGACAGTATATTCTAGCCAATGGCAGAGTAATTAACCTCCATAAAGTTACTTCTGGAGATTGTGTTCAATCTTTTACAAAATTAGCTGAACTGTTAAGAGACAGTTCTGAGCTCATGGGCCAGAATATTTATTTGGTATATTTTCTTAGATGCAAAATGAACTGAGAAAGCACCCAGAATAAATACCCACATGGTTTTTGGCAAAATCAAGGAGAATGGGTTTTGCAAAATAGTAGTTACTAAAATCATAGTAATAAAGAAAAAGTTGCCCTAGCCGGTTTGGCTCAGTGGATACAGCATTGGCCTGTGGACTGAAGGGTCCCGGGTTCGATTCCGGCCAAGGGCACATACCAGTACCTCAGTTGCAGGCTGGGTTCCTGGCTATGGCCAGGGCACATTTGGAAGGCAACCAATCGATGTGTTTCTCTCTGTCTCTCCCCCTCCCTTCTACTCTCTCTAAAAATCATTGGAAAAATATCCTTGGGGGAGGATTAACAAAAATAATAAATAAATACGAAAATATTATTGATTTTCTTTAGATTTTCTATAGATTTTCTTTACTTTTTCAGTAAATACAACACAAGAGAGGATGCATGAGAAAATATTTAATATTGCAGGACAAACATTGTCAGCCTACTTTAGAAAGTTTTAACTCTTCAAGAAAAACACATTTTAAACCTTAATTCAGATCTTGAAGCAAAGTTTATTCTTCAGAACTTAAACTGTAAAACAAATGTCTTATTTGGTCATGAAATTCTTTTCATTATCATAGCATCAGACGAGTCTGTTGTAAATTTCTCATTCTGTGACATCAGATACATGACTCAATCTATTATTCTAGTATCTCTTATTAACTCAACATCATAATAAACAAACCTAATTCTATCAAATATGGCTTGATTCGTTTCAGAGCCTGGTTCAACATCCAGTAT